GGTACCATATATATATATATATGCATTTATTTGTTTATGTGTGTATTATATATATATATATACAAGTTATATACATATACATACAATGCACTTCTACCAAGGCTCATGCTCCCGCCGGTTCAGTTACTTCGTCGGTTGGTCTGTCGACTCACGCTCCCGGTTAGTCAGCCAGTCAGTCAGTCGACAGTCTTCTCTTTTGCTCTGGGCCCCTTACCTCCGCATGAACTGCCGACTGATGGATGGTCAGAGAATTCACACTCAGAGGCCCAACAAAAAATTGAACCAACCACACCAACAACCATCAAAGCACGCAAAAAGAACCCTCACCCTCTCCTGAACCACGATGGATGTAGGAAGCTGTGGCACGTGGGTCCAAGACGAGAGCTACAACGACCCGGAAGTTGTGTTCCTGGGCTTTGAAGCAACCAGGGAGAAAGAAGTATTTCATAATGGCTCTTGCAAGGAACAGGCAAAAAAAAAACGATCACCACGTATCTAGACCCTAAACCCCTACAGTATGGTACTCCAGAACCCAGTTTCCATGAGAGGCCGGACGAGACGTTCGACCTTCGTCTTGAGCTCCAGCCGGCGTATTTGCCCTGTGATACCTTTGGTTTAGGGCTTTTCTGGCTTGATCAGGTTTAGGGTCCTTGCGTTTAGGGTGTTTTGGGGGTTTAAGCTTTTTTTTCCCTGGTTAGGGTTTAGGGGTTAGGGTCTAGAGTCTAGGGTTTAGGATTTAGGGCTCTTGTGTTTATAGGGTTTAGGAATTGAGGATTAAGGGTTTGGAGTTCAGGGGTTCCGAGCTTAGGGTAGTTAGGGCCGGTAAGGTTAGGGATCCATATCAGCGTCCTTTATGTGGCCCTCCAAAACCTCTGACAAAAATGCTTGTACACAAGATCCCTCTAAGGCCCGTAAGGGGAAAACAGCAAAAGGCCTAGGCACAAATGGCAAAGTCCTGCTTGGCCTCGTCACCCCAGCGCTGATCGCTCACGCGTGGGAAGAGCGGCGGAAACTCCGGTCGCCCCTTGCCGAGGAAATCTGACAATGCCGGAACATCAAGCGGTGAACCTAGTTCATGGTTGGGATAGTATCAAAAAATCTAAAGTCCTAATTTTTCAATGCCTTATTGGGTTATAGGGGCTTATAAAAATGTGGCCAAAGGGGCCATCGAAAACGTTGATCTCCGTGAGCTTCTCTGCTGGAACGATGCAGCGGACGAGGCGATTGTGCGCCTCGTAGAGACGCGCCGCCGTCTCCGGAGTCATTGGGGCGAGTTTCATGCCGCAGGGGCTGTGGAGCGGGGCGGCCATGGTCTCGTCCCACTGCAGCCGGGCCTTCACCCAATCCACTGCATTGCGGTTGGTAAGGATGACCTTGGACTGTGGTGACACGGCATAGAAGTCAAGAAAGTGCTCCGCCATCGGGGTGTCCAAAAGCAGGTCGTTGCCCTGGTCAAAGGCCTCGGAAAAGTTCATGGCATCTACGGTGGAATAGCAACCATCCAGGCCGTTCGGGTGCTGCATACTCGTGATGTTCAATAGCCGCATCCAGAACTCTGGTATGTCTTCTCTTTTCCCCTGCTTGCAGTGGTGCACAGCGAGTCCCAGCTGGCGAGCAAAAGCTGCCAGAGATCGCGTCGCTGTGGTGCCAAAGCCAGCCCCCAAGATGACCGAGCCATCCGCGCTGGCCTTGCCGGTGCCTCCAAAACGTCTTTGCTCGAGACGCCGGGCGAAACCAGGAAGATCGGCATCTACGCTTGCACCATACTGCGAAATGCATTGCCACTGTGCAGGAGAGAAAGGCGACTCCTTCGGCTCAATCACGGCTTTGCCGGTATCAGCACGCTGCTGTATGAGGCATGAGGTCTGCCCGGGACTGGCCGCCACATCAGCATTCACATTCTCGACCTGATAATGACATTTTTGCCCGATCACATTCGCGACCAGGAGGTGCACATGGAAGATAAGAAGCTGTGCCGTCAACGGCATAGCTCGCGGTTTCATGAAAGATTCGGGGGAAGTTTGAGCCATGGAGGGCTAAAGCCAGACAACCTGTAGGTTTCCGGCTCAAGGCTTCAAGGCTTTAATGCTTAAGGTTGAAGGTTTCCTCAATCCTAAGCAGCCCGAAGAATCCGCAAGCTCACTGCCGCTGCACATGGGCCCAGAGTCCTAATAGCATCGCTAGCCGACGCTAGCCAGCCCAATCTTTATGCCCCACGCACTTGCAACCTCCGAGACGCCAACCTATGTTGTCACATGGTTTAGCACTGCCGATTCTCTCGGACTCTAGACTATCATTCAAATTTTCTGCAAGGGGTTCCACGGTTAAACACAAACCAGCCATATCCCCTGATAGTCCCTCTTAAAAGTGCAAGGAATTTCCACCCGAAACCCAATCGTCTTACTTCTTGTGTAAAGCCCAATGAAACCCTAAACTTTCATCCAAGAATATTTTCAGAAATCCTATCAACCCAAACTCTAAACCCTTTCTGAGACTCCTCACCTCGGTCGCAGAGGGCAGGAGGTCGCAACCCGGATTCTCCAGCTGTGCCTTCTCGGAGCACTCTGTCGTTGTGGGGGGCGGGCTTTCGTAGGGATATGGCAAACTGAACATAGCATTCTCCGTATGAGTCTGAGTATGAGCAACTTCATATGTCGTAGTCGTAGTACTATGCAGGAATCTTGTTGATGAGCATGGCAGTTCTTTGTCGTAGCATCTCAACCACCAGGAGCTTCATGGTCTTCTCAAGTTTCTTCCGCCCTCCTGATTCAATGACTGCTTTCAACAAGGCTTCTTGAAACCCAAAGCTCCGTCGGGCCCTGCATTCTTGTCACGTCGTTCCAGACTGTCTTTCAAAAACTCGACATGCAAAATCGCCCAAAGCCCTGATTGGCCACATTCCCACCACATCCAATCTGCGTCAAACCTGCTCCTTAAACCCTTGCAGCCTGGGTCTTAAACTCACGACCGCTAAAGTTCCGCCTGGGCTGAACCGGGGGCAAGAAGCACTTCGATGGCCGTGGGCCAATACGCCAGCAGTGTCATTCTCGGCTACGTGCCGGCTTGCTGTTTTCGTGTTCCCAAAAAGCAACTCCAATTCAAAACAAGAGGGCTGGTGCCTAAATAACAGAAAGGTCCGGTCTTGGTGGGTTTCTGTTCCAAATGTACAGGTGACATGTACGAATGGCTCGAGGGTCGCTGTGGGTGCAGGACCTGCTGTAGGGGCTTTCTTGTTAGTTAGGACAGGGTTTGGGGTGCGTTATGGTATAAACTACTTAGTTACTAGGAAATAGAACCCTCAGACATAGTATAGGTTATTTACTCAGGCCCCTATATTGCCGAAATTTTTGGATTGCGTAATGTACAGTTTACCTTTTCGACAGCTCCGACACTGTAAGACCCAACAAAAGCCGTTTCCAAACAAGTGTTCAAGCCAGCGAGGCAAAATCAAGTACGTACGTGGGTAGTTTTACTTTTGCTGGGGTCAACGGCAAAGTGCAGCTGGGAGGCAAACTTGCGCCCACGACACCGCAGGCGAGCCCACCAAACCTACATTCAGGAATTTGGCGGGTCAGCTGCATGTTGGCGATTGCTGGCAGACAAGCCCGATTCCCCCAACACTAGCGGTCCCACAACCCCAGTGTCCAGAAGAGCAGCGACGAAGCCACCCAAAGACCAAATCAAAAGCTGTGGTTAATTTGCACCATGGCCGCACACCAAGCAGGAATATAGACCTCACAGCGGAGAAGTCACCGACACCCATGGCATGGGTTATCTTCACCATGGTGGTGTCCTCAAGAAACCTCGGCACTTTGACTTGAGGCAGATGCTTTGGGCATCAAAATGACAGTCTAAGGTTACACTGCGCTGATTGAACAGCAAAGCAACGAGAGCACACTGAAGGCCCACAGACAGGCGGCTGGAAGATGTCCTTCATCGGAGTCAGAAAGGCGGTAGCTGCCAGCATGGAGTTCCTCCACCCCAAACCGACAGGTGAGGGCTCATGGTCTAGGATTTTTGCTTTCCTCGCACCTAGCGAGGGTGTCAGGGTTCAGGATTGCACGTTTGCGGCGTTGTGCTTAGGGGTTCAGGGCCCCGATTTAAGGCATAAGATTGACCGACATCCAGGGCAGGTTTCCGCAGCCCCAAACGACGGCGAGTGATCACAACATCCAGCAGAGGCGGAATAGGTTTTGGGGGTTTAGGGTTTATGCTTCCGTGCCAAAGCGAAGCTGGGTGACCGAACCACTTCATTCCGGCAAGCCTCCTCCCGGACTGTATTGACGGCACCGATGCATCAGCTGCAGAGTTTAGAGCGTGCGTTCAACACGACATCACCCGGCGACTAAGGCAGTCTAACTTCAATCCGCTGCACTGCCAGCCGGATAAAGAACCCTTGACCCTGAATCCCAAGCCAAGAATCTGCCCGAAGGAGCGAACGTCCAATATAGGGGCGTTAATCGTCGGAATAGGGTTTGGGGGAATAATATACCCAGTACTATGGCCATAATCGGGAACTTCAAGGAGTTATTCAATTCTTCACGCGTCCGATCGACCCGAGTGCTTTTTCAAGAAGGACCCAGGCTGGGAGGTCAGGCCAAGTCCCCATCTTCAAGAGAATCTCGTAGGATCTTACTTGGGCTTTTCAGTGAGGGGCTTGGGCCTTTAAGACATCAGTTTAGGAAGCTCCTTTCCGGCACGGGTAGGGCCAGCTGAGTGCTCTGGGCCATGGCGATGCCAACCACAGTCGAGGCGATCCTGGCTAAAGCGATGAAAGCTGCTGAGAATAGTAAGTCGCAACGTGGGTAGTTCTGCAAGTTAGGCTGCCTTTTTCGGTCCCCAATATAGTACGGCACCCCTACGACAGTGACAGTAATACATCCCCAGCCCGAAAATGTCGAGCTGCAGGCCCTACTTCAGCCTCTGCGGCGTAGCGCAATACCTCAATGCCTACCAGTTCCGGTCCGGAGGAGGCGCTGCTAAACCCTAAACCTAAGCTCTAAGTCCCTAAACCCCAAACCCTAAGCCCTAAGCCCTAAACCTTGTGCTAGGAGTCTGCAGGGAAAAGGGGCACGGGCAGAGCACATTGCGCTGGATCCAACTATCGGCCCGAAGTAGTGATCTTACGTAGGAACAATTAATAATAAAAATCAAGAGTAACGATGATAAAAACAGTAAAGATAATCATCATCATCATCATCATCATGGAATAATACTGCTAACATAATAATGGTAATAATGGGCAATGATCATAAGAATAATATCACTCATGACAATACAGGCACTAGCAAGAACGATAATGACCATCCTCATGATACCTAGAACCCGAACCAATCATCATGATTACCAGCATGCTTAGGATCGGCGGCACCGAGCGCAAGTTAAACCCTCCATCCTTTGGATTCCCAGGTACGTGACCCAATAACCTCTAAAGCTGAAGCCCTGAAGCCAACACTGCGAATAAAGCTCTACATGGGGCTGAAGAGGTGGACGGTCCGGGCCGTATTGAACTGCAGGCTGGGGGGCCGTGGTTTCCATCAAACCTTTTGCGGGCTTCGTTCGGGCGTGAGAGTTTGGCTCCGCAGGAGGCTTGTAAGCATACGTACATGCACGACCCTCACAGCACTCTGGCTTGTGCACAAGATGTTCATGATTCCATAAGGCAACGGCGCAAGCGACGCTCGACATGGGGCTGTCTTAGGGTCTAAGGGTTTCTGGCCACCAAGTCGCACACCCAAGTAGACGCCCAGCAGGTTCACATGCTCTGGGACACCGCTCCTGGGCAGTTCTCATGATCCGTATAAGGCTATTTGGTATGTGGTTTGGGTGTGGGGTTCAGGCCACTGGGCCACATGAACGGCATCGTCATGTTTTTGAATCTACTTGGTAGTGCCTCCGTTCACTGCCAGGAGCCGCAGAACATGAGGCAGGGGCACCGCACGAACCAACACCCAAAAAATTTTCAACCTAAACCCCTATGTAAGGCGTGAGCCTCATCATAACCCCAGGAGCAACCCCGAACAAAATCTGCAACTTATAGCTACCCAGACAAAAACCTAAAGCCCTAAATGCCTGATGGAGCCCTGGACCGTAAAGCCTTCAGCCCTCGAGCCGCCAAGCCCTTCCCAAACCCCAAAGCCCCAACAAAAAGCATGCCCTAATTTCAATCCACAATAGCCTCGGCCCGGACTGCACAAACGCGCTGAACCCAACCCTGAACCTTTTTTTCACAAGGGACACTCGACTGCTGCCCCTTTTGCATGCGGGCTTGGGAAGTCCGCAAGGGACTGCGGCCCTAAATCCTGAACCCTCTAAGCCGCAAAGGCCCTGATGTCCCTAACCCTCGCAGTACGTGCCAGGGTTTAGGGTTTACGCAGTTTACGCTTTAGGGTATCATTGAACCGTATAAACCCTAAGCCCTAAACCCTATAAGAACCCTATAAAGCACCCTAAACCCTGCAAGAACCCCAAAACCCTATACGAACCCTTTAAGAAAAATCTTTTCCACCGTCAGGTCGCGGAGGTCGGGGGACCGGCACTGTGTCCCCGGCCTCTGACCCAGGGCGCACGGTTCGCACCCAGCGTTGGAGCCAAATCTGCTTGGTGTTAGGGCTTTTTTGGGTTTTTGGTGGTTTAGGGTGTTTGTATCCGTTTAGGGTTTAGGGTTTAGGGGTTTTTGGTCTTCGGGCTTTTGGGTTTGTGGTGGTTTTTGGGTTTTTGGTGGTTTAGGGTTCCGCTGACTGTTACAATGCTTACTTTACCCTTACTCAATATTTGCCGTTACTGCTGCTGTTCTGCTTGCCTCTCAGTATCACTGCTGCAAGTCGTTGCATCTGCAAAATGTCCCACTCCAACGGCACATCCTAAATGCGCCTAGAAGTGCCTCTCCTGGACCCCCGAACCCCAATGAAAGCGGTCTGAATAAGTAGTCATTGTTCGCAACCATAATTCCCATGTTGATTGAACCAGCGGCTAAAGCCCCTAGCCCGTATGCCGAAACCTGCCCAAAAACTCTGAGATGCCCTAGACCCTAGACCTGCAACGCCGATGCGCAGCCGGGAAGCCGTGAAGAGGATGTACACCGCCATGGAGCTATAGTTCACATAGCTGGTGGAGGCAAACTCGGTGTCATGCACCTGGGCCGCTGCTACTCTAGGGACCTTTGTAATTTCAATAGGGGCTTTGTGGTAGTATGCTTGTTTTGGTAGCATACTTGTATATGGGCGGTAAGGGTATATCATTGCGAAATTCAGACTCAGACCGATGTACTTAACTTTCGGCTCCCTGTTTCAATGGCTCATACCGTAAAAGGGCTGTTTCTTCACACGAGGACTTTTGGGATATACATGCCGAGAACGACGACCATACGCCCTCTCATCGAACAGGTATGTGACGTGCGTGTATGTCGTGCGTATGCAGACAGACAGACAGACAGACAGACAGACTGACAGCCAGCCAGCCATCTGGCCAGCCAGCCAGACAGACACAGAGAGAGAGAGGCAGAGACAGACACAGACAGACGCAGACACAGACAGACACAGACTTGCACAGGAAGACACAGGCAGACACAGACAGACACAGGAATGGAAGACACAGCAAGAATAAGGAAGACACAGGAAAACACGGGCAGGACAGGACAGGACAGGCCAGGCCTGACAGAGAGGCACGGAGACAGACAGACCGATACATACGTACGTACGTACATACATACATACACAATATATTAATATATGTACATACAGCTAGGGAGGGTGCTGCGGACACGGGCCAAAAGATAGACGGGGAGAGATGGCTGAGAGGTTGGAAGGACTGTCATGGAACGGAGCCGCCAGACTCTTCATCAGGCCCTCTGTCAGTGGACGGCTGCAGTCATCGACGACCATCAACACTGAAAATATCTGTGGGTCCATATCGGACTGAGAGTTAAGTGCCTATCGACCTGGTCTGCTGTCTCAGATGCGATACGTCTCTGGCCGAATGGTCACCCCCAGCAGGACTCCAAGCTGGGGCTGCAATGAACGGGCTGATGGCACTAGGTCACTGGGCATGGGGCTGCGCCCCTTGCAACCTGTGATATAGACAATATAGACAGGCACCCTGTCGGCAATCTACCTATTGCCCCACACACCCAGCTGCTCTAAACTGCACCCTTTTTGGCTGGCCAGGAGCCCACCGGTCTGCTAGGCAGCACGACTCTTGAGCACAGCTCAGCTGCGGATAGAAGCCTTGGGCAATTGGCTGGCATCGCTTATTCAAGGCTTCAGGCTTCAGGCCAGTTTTTTGAGGTTGGGATTGAAGGTGTGGGGTTTAGGGCTAGGGGCTTGGGGCTTGGATTGAGCACTTTTCGATGGCAGCGAGGTGCAAATGCTTATTTAGGGTTGGGCAGAAGCGGCTGGCTCTTGGGACGAAGCCCAAACGGATGCCCTGGCCCCTTGTTGATTCCCTCTTCAAACTATTATGGCCTTTATCTCTGTAGCGCTATATCATCTTACGTTCAGAGGGTTTGGGGTTCAGGGTATTTGACAATGTCTAGGATAGCCTGGCAGCCAGTTTCTCTGGATGTAAAGAGCAAGCCTCAACAGGCTCATGTGGGTCTGGAACTTTCGAAAGGAAACCACATTCCAATTCCTTTCATTTCATTCCCTCAATGCTATGTCCACACAATCTGGAGCTAGGATAACAGACCGAAGTTTACATGATAGGGCCATAGGGAAGGGACAAAGCACAGGCTTCCGTTCCTTCGCTTGACCTGTTTCCTTTGCTTAATTAGGGTCGTTTGGTGATACGAGCAGAAGCGGACCCACAAAAAGCTCAATCTTAGCGGCTTTAAAATCAAACGAAGGAAAGTCGTGCGTGGTTTATTATTTATTATAACTCAGATTTAAAGCGGTGCTTTTTTATCCATCTAGTTCATGGTGTGACGAAAGACCCTATCTGCATAAAGAGAAGAAAATAGAAGAGCGATGCTTTAATTCTCTTCACTCACCTCTTTTCGTTTCTTTAGCTCCACAGGCCAGGAAGCAAAGACCCGAAGCTGGATCCAAGGATGGGGCAGCTACCTGGGCGTCAGGGTGTCAGCATCGCAGGAATTCTAGGGTTCAGGGCCTCATTCATGTTTGGAGGTTTGGGCCGTCGTTCCTCTAATTACGAAGGTGTCTTTTTTTTGGGGGGGAGGGGGCCGCGGCACCACCAGGAAGCTTCTTCGACACATCCGAAACCAAGACTGAACCTCAACTCAGAACTCAAACCCTACAATCTTTTTGTACAGGGCCCTAAATAATTCCCAATACCATTTCTTGTGCCGCTATTGTGAACCTCCTTGCGGCCTGGGATGCCGGGTGCGAGCCATTCGGCAGCGTCTCGTAGAACACAAACAGCGGTGCCCGACCGTCTCCGCCCGCATAGGACCGGCACGCCGCCATTGCAGGGTGGTCTCGAAATTGAGTCTTCCCGACTTGGCTGGGCTTCGTCCGGCAGGGTGTTGAGGCTGAACTGCTGAGTTCAGACTGCTGAGGTTCAGAGGTCTGCTGGAGGAGTTGACGTGGGTGTGGGGGGCAACTGCTGCAGCTTGGCCCTTAAGTTCCGAGTTCTGCCCTGAGGCGTTGAGTCATCTTCTTGGCTTCCGTCGTCGATCTGTGTAGCTCTGGGGGCAACTGCAAGAAATGACTACTACAAGCTGCACGTACTTGCTAATTAGGGCTCGTAGGAGCCGGCAGACAAAAGCCTTGAGCCCATGTGCTGCATTCGCTCAAGCCCAATGCCCAAACTGATGCATAGCTTCCCCAAACCACTGCCTTTTAGGGTTTAGGGCTGTCGCTAAGCCCTAAACCCTAAACCCGATGTGAACCCTTTGTGCCACCAGGCCCGAGTCGAGCCAGACCTTCCATAAGAATAAACCCCAAACCTCAAACCCTGTTTCCAAGATTCCTGACATCCCCACAATTATGCAGCCTCGCATGACTGCAAGAGGCGAGCGGCATGGAAGCGCGGGACGTGGAAGGCCACCAGGGTGTTGAATTCGGGCAGAATCTGGTTGGTTTAGGGCTTAGGAGAAGCATTTCCTTTCTTGTTTATGCAGCTATTCACCTCGGTATGTGCATCCATTGTACAAGTAGTTGGTAGTTATCCGGGCAATCGGACCCTTTACTTCACCTCTACACTCTGCCCGCTTTGATCCTCACCGCACTTTTAAACACACCAAAAACCGTGGGTAGCTCCCTACATACAGCCCCAAACTTCCAATCCAAAGATGCTTTGCTGCATTGGCCGAGAAGGTTCGAGAGGGTTAGTAGGGGAGACTGTGTGACATCTCAACCGAGGAATGAGGAATTTCATCGCGACTCTTTGAGGGGCCTGACATCTGATAAGCCGCAGCCTGGGCTGCCCCTCACAGCTTGCTGAACCCGGGTGAGGCTTTTTGGCGATATGTTCGGGTGGCCGTGGCAATTTCTCTCTCCCTCACTCCCCCTCCCCCTGCAGCTACATCCTAAATGGTCCGATTGCATGAGGCTGACCGAGCGAAAACCGCGACTAAAACAGAACCGCACAGTTCTTGGATGGTGAAATTGCCTTGGGGCTTTCGGGGTTTAGAAGTGGTCTGCGTTGCTGGGTTTGAGATTGCTTAGGGTTTTCGCTCGAGGCGGTTTGGGTTTGGTTAAGGTCGGTAAATTCTTGACACTGTTCAGTGCTAGGGGCCGCTGGATGCCATCGGAAGCGCCTCCTCTCCGGTCTCCAAATCGTGGAAGGCCCCACCCCACTCCTGCTTGAAAGCTCGAGCAATAATATGCTGTGGCTGTAGGTTTAGTTTACAACGGATGCCTGTTGACGCAGGGTTTATAAGTTTATGGTCATTGGGCTTTCGGGCTGTGGGATACAAATCAAAAGTTCCGACCAGATTCAAAAACCGAACGCCAGGCGAACACGGGTCTGGCAAGCAAAGCGCTTTGGGCTTAGGGCTTCAGGGTTTAGGGTTCGGGGTATAGGTTTTGGGGTTTAGAGTTCTGGCATGAGTCTGACGAATTTGTATTTAGTTCTTGCGCTATTGGAACTACGGCTACGGCATCCACTGCTGAGATCGCCACTCTCGTTCTCACTCAGCTACTATTGGCATTTCTCTGACTATTACACCTTACACTGCTGTGACGATCAGAACTTTCCATTCCTGCACTTCGCGAAGGCTTGCGCCACCGGTGCAATGCACCATCTCCGAACAAAAAGCCAGCTGCTATCTAAGTCCAATGCTCCCTCTCCACTCAAACTTCGGCCAAGGTCACCTTGCGCCAGTCGGGCGTAAGGTACCAGATCACCGCGACCTTGGCTGAAGGCCAAGCACTGAGGTCGTGAGAGCACCCCGAAGCCCGTGAACTGTGTGGCCGCAAGCCTAAGTCCTACAACAACCTTGCATCTTCAATCCTCACCCCTCATGCACTCATAACAATAATATCAAGAATATTAACAACAATAAGAATACTACTAACAATACTAAGAATACCAATAACAGTAATAAGAATAGTAGTAATGATCATACTGATACTCTTCACCCCTAAAGCCCCCGGAAGATGCTGGTGGCATCTTCGGCCCCAAACCTCAAGTCCAAAGCTGCGAACAGCTCGTCAAGCAGCCCTAAGCCCACACACGCGCGTATCTGGCCATGTGCTTGTCCTAAGATTTTGCTAATTACATTGATAATTCGGTCATGTGCCCCTGTCCGGACACGCAGTGGGGTGGGGGGGTGGGGGGGTGGGGGGGTGGGGGGGTGGGGTGATAGCGTCCGGTTTGATTTCAGTCGCTGGAACCCTAAACCTTGCAGGATCGCGACATCTCTGTTCGGGTTTGTTCTCGAAAGTGCTTGTATTTGCAG